ATTGGCAATCTCTCCAACAGCACTGTTGAAATAGACATTGTTAGAACAGACATTTTAATCCATTTTCAGTCATCAATTGTAGCAAATCAGGTCAAAAATTGTATGCGGATATTTTGTTGGTATCCAGGATTAGAATGTAGAAATATTCCCCGGGAAAACAAGTGAAAGCAAAATAAAGTAAAAGCATTATATGGAAAAGCCGAATGGTGCAGGCTTTGGCGACTTTTTTACTTTTACTTGTACAACAAATCTAGACAACATATTACAAAAAGAAGTTATGGGGATGACAGAAAAATAATAAATTCAGTTCACCATCGTCGGACAATAAGATGTTGCACAGACAGTTGTTATTGAAAGTAAAGACCAACATCTAATTTAAGAATCAATCCACAATAAACAGAATCATGAATGACTCACTTGTTATCATGCCCACCCACCAAAGTGGTTCATACAGGTACGAATAGCCTCCGCTTCCTGCAAAATATAATCATTTTGAGAGTAAGCTACCATTGCACATGACTTGATTGGGTATAAACTAGAAACACAAATATGAGGCCAAAAAATGAAACCTGTCCCCTACCCTGTCTATATATAAACCAAGCATAGCCATTAGAAATGACAAGCATCCAATTCATCTAAACATAATATAGTCATATGTAGGAGAATCGTAAAAGATGTCTATACTGATGAGTAACAAACGACATGAAAACTGTTCAACTTGTAGACAGTTTTTTCACCATATTTTAACATTAACATCAAGATCAGGCCACAGCAAACTCCATTTTCTTCATGACAATTGAGAAAGCGCTAAAATTAGGCAGTTTATCAATCCAACCCCTATATGCTCAAATATGTCTATAGGAAACCCCTGGCGTTTTAGGCCATGACAAACTTCACTTCCACCATATGTAAACAATTAACATTAACATCGAGATCAGGCCACAACAAACTCCATTTTCTCCACATGACAATTGAGACAACGCTAAAATTAGGCAGTTTCTCAATCCAACCCCTATAAACCCAAATCTGCCAACATAAAACCCCCGACATTTTAGGCCACAGCAACCTCTATTTTCACCATATTATAACATTAACATCAAGATCAGGCCACGACGAACTCCATCATCCTCATGGCAAATACGACAACTCTAAAATAATCCTGATCACTGATTACTCGATATCAAAGAGCACAAGAAAACAATTGTAAAGAGCTTCAAAGCCGGAACTCATATTCAAAGACAACAAACACCTAGTCTACCAAATGAACCAATAATCCATAGCAAAACTTCTCCATTGAAAAGAAAAAGTAAAACCTCCAAGATTCCAGATCTTAAGAAAAACTAATAATCCATTTCTAGTACGACGAAAATGAAGTCGACAGTATCAAGTAAACATAATTCAGCAACTAATTCTCATGCTAAGAACACCAACCAAGTAAAGTTCAAAGCCATAAAAACAAAACCACAATTCACCGGATCGAAGACTGAAATTAAAGTAAGATTCGAAGAGAAAACGGATTATACCTGCCCTAACACCACTTGCACCGGCCTTTTTCAAACCTTTCTTTTTAACAATGAAACTAGCACCGATGAAGAAACTCGAGGAAAGAGCAAGAACTAAACCTTTAATGTTATCGGAAGACATTCCTTCGCGCCAGCTTGAACTCGTAGACAACGCCGACGCTGAAGAAGAAGAAGATGATGAAGTCGCCATCTCGCGAAATCAAAAACCCTAGCGAGTGGGAGCGAGATGGATCTCGCCACTTGCGACGAGAGAAACCAATAACCACACGAAAAATCTAATCTAAATCTTTTTCTCTGGATACAGCTGTCACAACGGGTTCTCTTTCTCTGGATCGGAAATGCTTCGGAAATGGAATTTCATACAGAAAAAAAGAGAGATATTAAAAATTAATTTTACAGTGTGAGTGAGACATGAGTGCTACACTCCATTGTTGATTCTTGTTAATCACTACTTGATTCGGAATTACTCTTTCATTTGCTTTATCTCAATACCTTTCCTTTCTCGCTTCTTCTTCCTTTTCTTCGTCTTTACTTTTTCTTAATACATTTTATTTTATTTTACTTTATTCTACTCGTCATACAAATACTTACTACAGAATACAACGTGGAGTACTATTTTATTTATTAATATAGTTTTATTTTATTTTTTCTGTTTTTGTCATTGTTTTATTACTTTTTCTGTTTTTGTCATTGTTTTATTATTTTTTAAGCTAATTCTAAAATGCATAAGAATTGTTAATATAGTTCTATTTTATTTTTATTTTTTTGTCTTTGTTTTATTATTTTTTAAGCTAATTTTAATATGGTGTTGTGTTAAGTGAATTTTAGTAATTAAAGTGTTGTGAGGGTGTAATCAGATACAAGCATGTTAAAAAAATGAGTCGTCTGTATCGTTCCATCTCGCTTTAAATTGACTAAAAAAGAGGGGCGAGTAGAGCAAGTCTGCCAAGTGAAATTGGATTTTAAAGTCTATTTTGCCCAGACAAGGTGTCAGGTTGGCGGATGGCGGATTTGCTCACCTATATATTTATTTATTTATTATTTTTTAATAGATTAATAGGCTTATTTTTACATTTCAATTAGATTTTTAACAATACTATTCATACACCAAAATCATACACAACATTGTTCACCGTATTTATACACTGAACAGTGATTTTTTAAATAAAAATATTTATGAACTTACATGAACATTGTCGTGAGCAGGGCTATGTGAACGGTGTTTCTGAATGTTGTTTTTAACTAGTGAAATAAAGTTGGTTACTGAAGTGTATAAAGTTAGTTAATAAAGTGATGACCTTGTTTAATTAACGCTCAAATATTAAAAATAATTTTTAGCTGTGAAATAAAGTTAGTTAATGAAAAATAAAAAGTTGGTTAATGAAGTTATGAAATTGATTAATGAACGTCCAAATATTAAAAAATATTTTTTAGTAGGAAACAAAGTTGGTTAATAGCATGTAAAATGTTGGTTAATGATGTTATGAAGATGGTTAATAATAGAATTTTATATCAATGTTATTTAATTTAAAAATAAAAATATATTTTTTTAAATATTTAATATTATAATATTTCAATGTTAACAGTATTAGTGAAGGTGTAGGTACATAATATAGTGTAAGAATATCATTTTTTTTTAGATTTTACACTTATTTTTTAGAACAATGCTTTATAAAGCATCTTTTTAACAAATTTTACTTAAAAAATATTCCACATATTCACAAATAAATGTATAAAATAGAATCATCAACAAGTATTTCAAAAATATAGTTCAAGTATTAACCTTCAATCTACCAAAAAAATGATTTGAGTGTTTGATAACTAGGTTGGCGAGTTAGCGAGTCAACCCGCCCCTTCTTTTGGTGGGCTTAAGGCGGGCAGGGTTGACCCGCCACATATAGAGGCCCAAGGCAAATTTAAAATTTAAATTTAATATATTCATTTATTTAAAAATAAAATTTTTTTACTAAATATTAATTCATTATAGATAAAATACAATTAGTAGTACATAAAAAGTAAATAAAACATAATTAGTAGTATTTGAAACGATAAAACAATATATTTTATTCCTTATTTTTATTAGGGTTAAATATGTTTTTAGTCCCTATAAATATTGAACCTTTCAAGTTTAGTCTCTACAAAAAATTTCTTCAAACTTTGATCCTCATTAAGTTATTAAGTTTTCTGTCTCACAATATGGTTTCTCCCCTTAGTTTTCACTAACGGAAGCTTATGTGTCATACCACATGTAATAACAACTTTGATTGCGTGTGATATGTTTTATTTCAATTCGTCAGCGTGGAAAATGCAGATAAGAAAATCCTGTTAATTTCAGATAAGTCAACTTTAGATGTTTGCCCTGGCAGAAGTTTACATTCCTTATGTGTTGAAGGTGTGCGTCAGTCAATGAACAAGAAGTATTGATTCGCACAAGTCTGGGAAGAACGAACATTGATTCGCAACATTCAAAGAAGAATTTTGTTTGTTTGCTGTGGTCCCAAAGCGACATCTTTGAAGTGGTCCAAAAAAAAGAAGTTCCTGAGAATGCGAGCAAGTGGTCCCAGGTAAGATGCAATTGTCTCCTCTATGTTCCCTCATTTGAATATCATATGTCTTGCTTTCTCGGTGGTCCCTTTCCTTATTCAATTTGTTATTCTGTTGTATATTAAGTTTGTTCGCCTTTTTAGAAAAAATTAGGGTAAATCTATTTTACATTGTAATGATAAAATTTAAACGTAAGTTAAATATTGTGTACAGAAAATGGATAGGTTCAGGGTTGTATTTTACTCAGAGGGCCATTTCGTAAAAGAGCCTAACATGCGATATGAGGGAGAGGATGTTTATGCTTTTAATGGTTAAGACCCTGATTATTGGTCTTTCTTTGAAGCGTGTGGCCTAGTTAAGTTGATTGAACTTGGGTTTGATATAGGTGGTGTTAATATGGTGGAAACATGAAGAAGGATCATTTGAACACAACTTAAAATAATTTAAGGATGATGGTGATGCTTTTAAGTTAGCCATGTATGCTATAGGAAATAAGTCTGGTGTTGAGATATTTTGTGAGCCCAAAATTGTAGGAGAGGATACCTTTATGGATAGGTTTAGGGAAAGGGGAAAGGGAATAAAATATGATGAATATGTTGGCAAGTTGATCAAAGAAAGTGATTATTCTAGTGATGAATCTGTTAGAGGAGTTCACTTTGATGATAGTGAGGAGGAGAGGATGAAAGGGTTTGATGAAGGCCTTAATGAAGTGTTTGATAATAGGGTTAAAGTTGAACAAAAAGATGGACCTGTTGCAAATGAAGATGACACTGCTCATGTAGACAAGAAGATGTTTATAACTGAAGAGATGGGTAAGGAACATGTCATTAAGGATGTCTACATGACTGATGAATTAGACAATGGTGGTGATGATGACTGTTGTAATGAAAGGCTCTGTGTAATCAGGTTTAATCAAGAATAATCTTTAAGCAAGGATTTTGTTTTCAAGGTGGGAATGGAGTTTTCTTCTTTGAGGCAATTCAAAGATGTTATCTTAGAGCATAAATTTTGAATGGTAGGGATGCTAAGTTTGAAAAAAATGATGCTAACAAATGCATGGTAGTTTGTAAAGATAAGAAAAAATGTGACTATACAGTGTTGTGTAGTAAAGTTTTAACACTCACCACATTTAGGATTAAAACTTTGTTTGCAAAACACAAATGTGGAAGACAGCTCTTCAACAAAAGTGCCAAAGTAGAGTAGGTGGCCAAGGTAATTATTGAGGGATTGAAGAACAACTCTATGACGAGGTTAAGTGAGGTAGTAGCAGATGTCAGACAAAGGTATGCAACAGAAATTCCAAGATGTAGAGCATTCAATGCAAGACAGATTGCAAGACACATTGTTGAAGGAGATTCTGGCAAACAATTTAGTCTTTTATGGTCATATGCTGCTGAGTTCAGCTGGGAACATTTTCAAGATCAACACCAGTGTTCCTAGTCCTGGCTTAAAACCTAGATTTGGGAGGTGTTATATGTGTTTTGATGGTACCAAGAATGCTTTGAAAAAGGCATGTAGGCCATTCATTAGACTAGATGGGTGCCATTTGAAACACAAGTATGGTGGTATTTTACTTATTGTTGTTGGGAGAGACCTTAATGATCAATATTTACCAATTGCCTCTGCTGTTGTTGAGACTGAATCAAAGGATTTATGGAGCTGGTTTCTAAAATTACTTATTGAAGACATATGAGATGGCATATGGTGTTTCATATCTGACCAACAAAAAGCAAGTTGTATTTTTATCAATATTTGTCATCTGACAATTTTCAATCACTCGAATGTACTAATGCAAATAATGTTTTCTTGGTTTAGGGTCTTGTTCAGGTTTTTGAAGATTAGTATCTTGCCTATGAATACAGGTTTAGGTTAAGGCACTTGTAATGCTAACTTCAAAAAAAAGTTTGAAGGAGGAACCTTGTTTAGAGACCTTATGATGGCTGCAGCAAAAGCAACTTATTTTTTAGGCATATGAGGCTAGGATGCTGATCAAGGAGGTCAGTTTGGAGACTTATGAGTGGTTAGAAGCAATTCCAAAAATAAAATGGTGTAAGTATGTTTTTCCCTTTTTCTCAAATTGTGATGTCATGATGAACAATTTAAGTGAGTCTTTCAACGCAACCATTCTACTATAAATAGACAAACCAATCATTACCATGTTTGAGTGGATTGGGAATTACCTAATGGGGAGGTTTTCCACACTTAGAAAAAAAGTAGATAGTTATAAAGGGCAAATAATGACAAAACCATTAAGGAGGTTAGATAGAGAGAATGAAAAAAGTGCTAGTTGGACAACAATCTATGTTGGTAGGTTAACCTTTCAAGTCACGCATGTTTTGTTTACTGTTAATTTTGTAGTGGGTTTAGAAAAATAATCATGTTCATGCAACTATTGGGATCTTGTTAGGGTTCCTTGTAAACATGGTGTGGCTGCCATACATAGGAAAGTGGATGACCTTGTGGAATATGTGCATAAGTGTTATCACAAAAGCACTTGTGAAAAATGTTATAGTGAAGTTATCACCCCCTTTGAATGGCCAAAACAAATGGCCAAAAACATCCAATGAAACCATGTTGCCCCCTATGTTCAATGGTGGTCTAAGTAGGCCCAAGAAACTTATAAGGATAGAGCCATATGAAGTAAAC